ACAGAACCAAAAAGATTCTTAGCAAATAGGATTTTTATATAGCCAGAGACCTAGAGACATTGTTTAATAGATTTAAAATTGATTAGGGTACCCAAGTTTAAGAGGCCTTTGGATGTAAATTTGTCCCTGTGTATTTTAATCAGCATGCCAAAAATAAAACCAATAACTTTGTGCACAATAAAAAGAATGAGAAAGGAAAAATTTGAAGTGGCCATGTTTTAAAATTGTCTTGACATAAATGATATATGAGGACAATTATCATAGACATATGACATAATTATGTGAGATCTCAACATATAGAAACATATAGAAACATGTCATAATTTTAAACAACATAAAAATAATTGTTAGACATATATGACAGTGTTGCACAAAACTAGGTATACCTAAAACATGTCACTTAATAAATTTGATTATGAAGATCTTTTGTAAGTAGGCATAGCAAGAGTCACAAGGATTGGCTTTAGAAGCGAATGCCATGTAGTATTATTTTACTAAAAGAACATGGAATCTGAGTTAAACATAAAAGATAAGATACTTAACTAATATAACTTGTAAACAGAATGGGAGTTAAATCTTGGAGGAGGCAGTTTCTCAAGACAGAAAGCCTGGAAATAAATTTGTACATAGTAGAAAACTTAAAACAGTTTCTTTTAAAAGTCAATAAACAATTGAATGAAGTAAAAGTAAGAGCGAGGAATTGAATTGAAAAGGACAAGAAAAACTCATAAAGTTTAGGTGTTAGGAATTGAACCCAGGTCCTTTGTAAGAGCAGACAGTGTTCTTAACCATTAAACCATTTCTTAGGCAGGAGCTGCAGGGAGGGGGTCTGTATAAGAATCTTATAGGTGACAAAGAGTCACAGTGGGGGTGGGTTAGATAAACAGAGTCATTGTTTTTCGTGAACAGGCTTTTGCACTTCTGAGGTCAGGGCACAATGCTGCCCTAGCTGCTGTGGCCCCACTGCTGTCCCTCAGCCACTGCTCCCAGTAAGCAGCAGCTTAAAAACTCTAAAGCGGCAGGCAAAAGAAATCCAAGAAGGCTGACTGGGGACAGAGTGGCCTGTCTCTACTTTTTAAAAGCTTCTTAGTGTGACTGTGTGTGTCAGTGAAAGCAAGGCACGATTTGATGGAGCGAGGGGTGAGGGTGAGGGTGGGAGACACACGAGGGAAGACAGAGGTGGGAGGTGGAAGTGAACCTTGGGGGAATGGAGGCATGGGAGAGCGAAGAAGGGGAGTGGGGAGAGGAGGGAGATTAGGAATCAGGGCTTGGGTTTGATCAGACCCCAGACCCCTGTGGAGGATTGTAGAGTGGGAGTTTGTCAGTGGGGTCAAATTTCGAGGTTAGAGGGCAGCTAAGTCTTTTGGGTTTGGGTTTTAGGCTTTAACGACATAAAAAAATCTGATGGGTGGTACATGAACTACAGAGAGAGGGACGGGCCTCTAGAGCAAGGAAACATTGAAAATAGGGTATCTCATGCCATTTTCCATTTTTGTTTTATGTAAAGTTAAAATCTGTTAAAGTATTATGATTAAAGGTGCCAATTTTGGGCCAGCGGCGGGCTGCCCAAGGAATAGTAAAGCCAGATTCGGACCCACAGCTGAGTAAATTCAGCTGGTTTGAGTCTTACTAACTGGGGTATTTTTAGGTTTGTTTTAAGGTAAACCAAAGGTGTATCTTTTGGAACAGATAATTTGGAGCCCATGATGGGCAGGCTTCCGGAGTGAGCTTTACTAGATCCTCTGTGGGTAGACTTCCTAGTGGGTGGGGGAGACAAGGTGGAAGGTGAGATCCAGCCTCTCAGAGGGTTCGGATCCACCCAAATGGGGTCTGGTGTTTAGGAGTGGGCGTCCCCAATTCTCATAAACACCAGGAATGGAGTCAGAAGCGGAATGCCCAGTGGAAAACTCCAGGAGTACCTCAGTCTTAAGACGGGCGTGGGGGGGGGAACAGATGGACGAACACCACGACAACAACGACCACTGAGAAAATAAAAAGAAACTAGGCGCCATGAGTGCTCAGGGGCCCACAGCCCACTTGTTAAAACTTAACAAAAACCAGAACCAGCCTTATCAAAAGGCTGCAGGACAGGCAGGCTCCGGTCAAGCTTCACAGATTAAGCCATAAACAAGTTTTACAGACAGAACTCCTGACCACCCTGGGGGCCCGATACCAGGAAATCTTTAGAAAACGTCTGTGCTTCTGAGGTCACCTCCCATTTAGCAATCCTATTTCCCCTCAGCCCCGGACCTTACCCCATACCCCTGCATACCTTTGAAATTACTGGTAAAATTACTATGTGTGTTTGAAATTAACCAATAACCGCGTTTCTGCTTCTGTACCCTGCTTCTGCCTTATAAAAACCCCCTGAACTCAACCTGGGGCGCGCAAGTCCTCCGAGGAGACTTTGTGCCCACAGGTACCTGTGTCCTGAATAAACCTCTTGCTGTTGCAACCCAAAGGCCGTGACTTGTCCTCCGTGGTTTCACTCTTACATTTGGAGGTTCCACCGAGATCAGAGAGTCGAAACCACCGGGACAACTCCCGTCCCTTCGGGGAGGTAAGTGGCCGGCTGTGTGTGTGTTTGTTTATGTGTAAACAAGCTTAGTCTGTTTGGGGCTGAATCGCGCAGCGTTTGGTTTTTGGTTTCTGCTGGGGATCCCTTTGTTTGGGCAGTGCAGGAGCAGGGTGACGATCCTAGAGCTCTGCCTGCCACCCCGAGGGACGCCTCGGGGACTGGGGGCTCACATTTGGGCAAGGGACGTGAAGTCCGCTTGCCACCCTCCTCCCTGGGAGAGAGAGGAGGGAAGCCAGTTTCGTATGAGGGTGAGAGATGAGAAATCGTCTCGCCGCCTGACTGGTGTGTGAGCCTCTTTGTGTGGGGGGTGAAAGATCCTCTCATTTGTGTGTGTGTGGGGGGTGAGAGATCCCCCCATTTATAAAACGATGTGGGGGGTGAAAGATCCCCCCATTTGTAAAGCGCTGCCCTCAGCCCTAGGCATCTGGATTTTATGTTTTTGTTTGTGTAACGAGCTCTCATTCCTTTTTAGTCGCGACAGCGCCCTAACAGCTTCAGGCGCTAGAGTTTTGTTTGTTTTTCTTTTTGGTCTCGGTGCACCACATCTAAGTGAGGGACACGTGTCACTAACCATCTCCTCCCCCAACTCCGCCTTTTTGTTTTTCTTGCAGAACCGTGCCCAGCGACTCCTGACAGCAGGATTCTCTCTCTCTTTCTCTCTCTCTCTCACCTTGCCTGCCTCATACTCTTTCTTGATAATTTTAAAATGGGACAACAACTAACCACCCCATTAAGTCTGACTATAGATCACTGGAGAGAAGTTAGAAGCAGAGCCCACAACCAGTCGCTGGAGATCAAGAAGAACCAGTGGATAACGCTCTGCTCCTCAGAATGGCCATCCTTCAACGTTGGGTGGCCACGAGATGGGACTTTTGATTCAGATGTCATTTTACAGGTCAAAGCCAAGGTATTTTCAGAAGGACCAGCCGGTCATCCTGACCAGGTGGCCTACATCATAACCTGGGAAAATCTGTCACTCGACCCCCCACCATGGGTGACCCCCTTTCTAACTAGGCCGGGGGTGACCCCCTCTGCTCCTCTTACTCCTGGCTCTTCCAGCTTATTGCCAGTGGTAGTAAAGCCTAAGCCAGTTCTGCCTCCAGATGAAGACGGACCCATGGACCTTATGAACGAGATTCCCTCTCCATTCCATCCTCCCCTGCAAGCCGCCGCTGCAGCTCCAGAGATCGGCTCACAGGAGGAGGGGCATCCAGAAGCAGCTCCCTCCCCCATTGCGGGACGCTTGCGAGGCCGCCGAGGGCACTCAGATCCCGCCCATCTCTTTCCCCTTCGTTTGGTGGGAGGGGAGGAAAATCAGTACCAATATTGGCCTTTTTCTGCCTCAGATTTATATAACTGGAAAACCCATAATCCCTCTTTTTCTGAGGACCCGCAGGCTCTGACGGCCCTAATAGAGTCAATTCTTCTGACTCATCAGCCCACCTGGGATGATTGCCAGCAGCTCTTACAGGTTCTCCTGACCACAGAAGAGAGACAGAGAGTATTCTTGGAGGCCCGGAAGCATGTGCCGGGCCAAGACGGGAGACCCACGCAGCTGCCGAATGAAATAGATATGGCCTTCCCTCTTAACAGACCTGCATGGGATTTCAATTCAGCTGAAGGTAGGGGACACCTACGTCTTTATCGTCAGTTGCTTGTAACGGGCCTCCAGGGGGCAGGAAAGCGCCCCACCAATTTGGCTAAGGTAAGATCAGTTATGCAAGGAGCGGATGAGCCTCCAACTGTCTTTTTGGAGAGGCTCAAAGAGGCCTATAGGAGATACACTCCGTTTGATCCAGACAGTCCAGAACAAGAAGTGAGTGTGTCTATGTCCTTTATTTGGCAGTCTGCCCCCGATATTCGGAGCAAACTGCAGAGGTTGGAGAACCTGCAGGGACAAGGCCTCAGAGATTTGGTAAAGGAGGCAGACAGGATCTATAATAAAAGAAAAACCCAAGAAGAAAAGGAAGAACGAAATAAAAGGGAACGAACCAAAGAGCTAAGTAGAATCCTGGCCACCGTAGTAGGGCAAGAGAAAAAGAGGTATAGGGGTGGCAGGCGAGGCGGCCATCTAGGGAGAGACCAATGTGCTTACTGCTGGGAAAAGGGACATTGGGCAAGGGATTGCCCCAAGAACCCCAAGAGACGAGAAAAACCCAACGAGAGCGGAACCAAGATCCTCCAACTTGATTAGGGGGGTCGGGGCCAGGACCCCCCACCTGAGCCCAGGGTAACTCTCCGAGTGGGGGGAGAACCAGTCACTTTTATGGTGGACACTGGGGCACAACATTCTGTCCTCACCCAGACGACTGGCCCGCTTAGTAAGAAAACAACATGGGTAGAAGGAGCTACTGGGGCCAAGCGCTACCGCTGGACCACAAACAGGGAGGTTCAGCTTGCTTCAGGAACGGTGACTCATACCTTCTTGCATGTACCAGACTGCCCCTACCCCCTGCTAGGACGGGACTTACTAACCAAGTTTGGAGCACACATCTATTTTGAAAATAAGGGGGCCAAGATTACTGATTCTAAAGGAGCGTTTGACCTGTACGTGGATAAAAAGCTGGGGTACGCAAAGGGGGTCCTGACTCAAAAACTGGGGCCGTGGAGATGCCCTGTGGCTTATTTGTCAAAGAAACTAGACCCAGTGGCTGCCGGCTGGCCCCCTTGTCTGAGAATGGTGGCAGCCCTGGCAGTCCTGGTCAAAGATGCCTTTAAATTAACTTTGGGTCAGCCTCTTTGCGTTCGGGCCCCCCATGCTCTTGAGTCTCTCATCAGACAGCCCCCGGATCGGTGGCTCTCGAATGCCCGGATGACTCATTACCAGGCTCTGCTCTTGGACTCTGACCGCATCCAGTTTGGATCCCCCGTCGCTCTCAATCCTGCGACCCTGCTACCCAGCACAGAAGAACCCGACTCGCAGGGCGACCATGACTGTCATCGGGTCCTGGCTGAGGTTTTCGGCACCCGACCAGACCTGAGCGATAAGCCACTGGAGAAGGCAGATCACACTTGGTATACAGACGGGAGCAGCTTCCTTGAAGGGGGACAACGCCGGGCTGGAGCCGCAGTCACCTCAGACAGCAAGGTAATATGGGCCGAGCCCTTACCAGAAGGAACGTCCGCATAGAAGGCCGAGCTGATAGCTCTGACACAGGCCCTGCGGCTGGCAGAAGGTAAGAAGCTAAATGTGTACACGGACAGCCGGTACGCCTTCGCCACCGCACACATCCACGGAGAAATTTACAAAAGAAGGGGGCTTCTCACATCAGGAGGGAAGGAAATAAAGAACAAAGCAGAAATCCTGGCACTACTAGAGGCTTTGTTTTTACCAAAAGAGCTCAGCATAATGCACTGTCCAGGCCACCAGAAAGGAAATCACCCAGAGGCAAGGGGAAACCGCCTAGCCGACCAGACGGCCAAGGACATTGCCTCCAAGAGTCAGGTTCTGACTATGCAAATGGACCCTGAACGCCAGAGACGGGAAGCCATCAGAGACTACACCCCAGAGGACAGAGAGTTACTCGAGAAAATTGGGGCTTTCAACAACCCAGAGACTGGCTACTGGGAGTACCAAGGAAAAACCGTCTTGCCTCAGCGATCGGTGGAAGAGCTCCTGGACGAGCTCCACAAATGGACCCACTTGGGAGTGAACAAGATGAGAAAACTGATTGAGAGGGAAGAAACAATCCTCTATCTGCTAAACAAAGATGCCATCCTACAAAGAATTGTTAAGAACTGTAAGGCCTGTGCCCAGGTAAACTGGGGCAAAAATAAAGCTTCAGGAGGAGTCAGACAAAGAGGCCACAGGCCAGGAGTCCACTGGGAAGTGGACTTTACTGAGGTTAAACCAGGAATGTATGGCTATAAATATTTGTTAGTTTTCATTGACACTTTTTCAGGATGGCCAGAAGCCTACCCGACCAAGCAAGAAACTGCAAGGGTGGTATCCAAGAAGCTATTAGATGACATCTTTCCCCGATTTGGGATGCCACAGGTAATAGGGTCAGATAACGGACCAGCCTTTGTCTCCCAGGTAAGTCAGAAGGTGGCCAGGTTACTGGGGATTGATTGGAAGTTACATTGTGCCTACCGGCCCCAGAGCTCAGGTCAGGTAGAGCGAATGAATAGAACCATTAAGGAGGCTCTAACTAAATTCTCGCTGGCAACTGGCACTAAAGACTGGGTTACTCTGCTGCCTTTGGCATTATACCGGGCCAGGAACACTCCTGGGCCCAGTGGGTTAACTCCGTTTGAAATCCTGTATGGGACCCCTCCCCCTGCAGTTTCCTTCTTAGACCCGGATATCTCTAACTTTGTTGATTCACCTTCCCTCTTTGCTCACCTGAAGGCACTCCAGCTGGCTCACCAGGAGATCTGGAAGCCCCTAGCTGCAGCCTATCAGGATGCTATTGACACTCCTATTGCACCCCACCCCTTCCAGCCCGGGGACGCTGTCTGGGTCCGGAGGCATCAGACTTGGAGCCTAGAACCACGCTGGAAAGGACCATACACTGTCCTCCTCACCACACCCACAGCTCTCAAGGTCGACGGGGTTGCAGCCTGGGTCCACGCCTCCCACGTTAAGGCAGCCGATCCGGCTCACCAGGAACCCCCCAGAGAAGGACAAGGACAATGGCAGCTGGTGCGGACTACCAACCCCCTAAAGATAAGACTGGTCAAAGACTCTGGGTACATCTATTTACTTGTGGGTTTGCTCACAGTAATGAGAGCCCCCATAGAGCTGTGCCAACCACCTGGCAAGTAGTCAATCAAATGGGCATTGTGGTATTTGAAGTCCGTAAGACAGCACCAAAAGATACTTGGTGGCCCACATTATATCCAGATTTGTGCAAGCTAGCTTTAGGGGTACCAGAGCCTTGGGACTTAGAAGGAACCCATGACACTGTAACGGTACCCAAAGTGGCGAGTCCTCCCGGGAGACTGGGACTGGACCCATGGGGAGGATGTGGGCCTCCTGAACACCGGGCCATGTTGCGTACCTTAACCTTTTATGTCTGCCCAGGCTTTCACAGGGCTGTATCTTTAAATCCTAAGTGTGGGGGAGGGGGGATTTTTTCTGCAAAAACTGGGGATGTGAAACCACTGGAGACGCTTGGTGGGGTCCGTCCTCATCATGGGACTATATCACTGTAAAAGCAAATTATTCTCATGGGACTTTTGAGGATTGGAAAACTATTCATAAACAGGCCTGTGAACATGCATGGTGCCACCCCCTTCGCGTAGATTTCACCCCACAAGGTAAAAAGTCAACCCTAAATTGGGACAAAGGATTTACTTGGGGAATCAGACTATACAAGGAAAGGGGAGATGACGGCCTCCTTTTCACAATTAAGAGAAAGATGTCTCCCCCACCTGCGGTGGCTATAGGTCCCAATCCAGTTCTAACCAAGGACCTCCCACTTCCTCCCCCTGCACCTCCCATACCAGCAGGCACCCCTGACCCCGTAGTAGTTTCAGGTCTGACTGAAGCCCCACCCACCTATCCTGGAACAGGTGAAAGACTCCTAAACCTCGTCAGGGGAGCATTCCAGGCATTAAATCACTCGGAGCCAAATAAATCTAAGAATTGCTGGCTCTGTTTGAACCCGAGCCCCCCTTACTATGAGGGCATAGCCGTTCAGGGAAACTTCTCAGTACTACCCGCGAACTCCGCTGCCCCCCTCGCCTGCACCTCTTCCACCCACACGCTCACCCTGACTCAGGTTACCTCGACAGGCACCTGCATCGGAAAGGTGCCCACTGGATTTAAACATTGCCTTAAGAATAACTCCTCCCTTTCCCTCCAGGCCAACGCATACCTAGTGCCCCCTAATGGCACCTACTGGGCATGCAGCACGGGACTGACTCCTTGTGTCTCTCTCGCTGTTCTAAATCTAACCCGAGATTTTTGTGTCCTGGTACAGTTATGGCCCAGAATTTATTGGCATGAAGACAGCTATGTATTACAACATTATGAAGAGACACCTACCCCTGTCAGATTCAAGCGAGAGCCTGTGAGCATAACCTTAGCTATATTATTGGGAGCTGGGGGAATAGCAGCGGGAATCGGGACAGGGGCAACTGCCTTAGTTCGCTCGGACCAGTTTATGCTCCTTCATGAAGCCATGAACCAGGATCTAATAGCCTTAGAGGAGTCCATAAGAACCCTAAAAGACTCCCTGACTTCTCTCTCTGAGGTAATGCTGCAGAATAGAAGGGGACTAGACTTGCTGTTCCTAAAGCAAGGAGGGTTATGTGCAGCCCTGAGGGAAGAATGCTGTTTCTATACAGACCAAACAGGAGTGGTAACTCAGACTCTAGATAAACTAAAAGAAAGACTAGAAGAAAGAAAACGTAACTTTGAATCT